TCCCGGGAGTCTGGAGTCCAATCATTGAGTCGAGCCAAAATATACACTAGCTCTGTGGAAAGACAGCGTGCTTTCAGCAGGAAAAATAGACGTGACAGCTATCGGAATGAGAAAAATATATTTATGACTAGCAGGATTCGCTCGCTTGCTATCGCTTCGCAAAGTAAAGTATATTCACTGATTGGAATCTTTGAAACAAAACATTTAAATGAACATTTCATTCATAAAATGGCTTTTTATAGTTAAGGTAAGTTTTACAAATAGATGCCAACTTGTTGAAGGCCAAGTAAAACGCAAATTTCAAACAATTTTATACACTATATAAGACGATATTCCTTGTCTCGTTAAAACAATTACGACTGAGTAGTGAGTTCGATCCTCACTGGGTGTCCCATACTTTCGGCCTTGTGCCACATCCGAGCTACGCTTGGAAAATCGCTATAAGACGATATTCCTAAACAGAACTATTTTTGATAAGAAAATCAAAACAATCTTCGAATGAAAGAAGACTAATGAAGGGAAGTTAATTAATAAAATAAATTTTCTTTAAAATCAATAGACAAATTAGTTAAACCCGAAGAGTGATAGTGCGTCGAAGTAGAAAATATATAACACAGATATTGAGCTGTTAGCGCGAAAATTATTCTTTCTGAGTAATTTCACGTCTACTTATCATCTCTCAGTTGGGCAGAGTGTGCTCAGGGGCTTCTCTCTCAAAGGAAAGAGGAGCAACTGAGGAAAATAATACTGGGGAACAGCTGCCCGAGGCCGCGCCTTCTCATTGCACTAGAGAGAAGGACCGTTGCACGCACCAAGGCCAGCGCAACCGACGGTTGCGGGGCTCGGGGAATTTTTGCACCTTGCCCGGGTGTACGCGCTCGGGTTCCCCACATTAAACTGACCTTGTGTCACAACCTGACCTTGTCGGGGGTTGAGTAAATACAAATTTCACGTCTAATTATCATCTCTCAGTTGCAACTCTGTCTTTGGGCAGTGTGCACTCAGGGGCTTCTCTGTCAAAGGACAGTAGTGTAACTGAGAAAATAATACTTAAGAGGTGGCCAGCCCTGGGGAACAGCTGCCCGAGGCCGCACCCTCCCATTGCACAAGAAGAGGTTGTGCTCGCAACGAAGCCAGCGCAACCGAAGGCTGCGGGGGCTGTGGGAAATTTTTGTTCATGTCAAGGGCGTACCCGCTCGGCTAGTGGAGGGACAGAGTAAATGCCGCGTGTAAATTTCTATAAAATAGGGAGTGGGCTTTTTAATCTCAGAATTCATGGGAGAATTGAGTTCTAATTTGATATATATATATATATATATATATATATATATATATATATATATATATATATATATATATCCATAATATAGGTTTTACTTAATTACCTATTATGTTTCTTTGACTCTTCAAATGTTGAATGTATAACTAATTCTAATTTCTATTTTATCATCTTTAGACTATATTAATTTTATCTTATAAGTTTCCCCGGTTCTGTCATCCATGAAATAAAAATAATTGTTTATACTGAAAATAAGGATCTATGTGCGTCTTTAAGTGGCAGCAGAAAAATTATCGTTCAGCTTTTAAAAGGTAATTTTAAACATTAATTCAGTGCTTAAATGCAGCAATCAATCAATTTTGAGTTCTTCTGTAGTTTATCGATGCCTATTGCATCTACTTCTCCATAGCTACTGTGATGACAGCCAAACCAAGATGCCTCCACGGGAGCTAGCTTAAATGCCGCCCGATAGGTCCGCTTTTAAGCAGTTTATAATAAAAGATGCACTGCAATTTTGGATACAAAAGGAAAATAAGAGTTACTCTCCTTGAATTACGAAAGCAATGATAATGGCTAGTATAATGTATTAATATATATATTCGAACCTGTTATGGTCCGGTTTCTTGTACTACGGTGATAGTCCAATGTAGAACCAATAAAGAAGAACTCGAACACAGGTATGGAATAACACAGATATATTAAAAACAGGAATATATGCAGAGAAGTAGAAGTGTTAGTATGAACAATCAGGTTTAGTAGAGAGAACAATGTAGTCTCGACCAGTATCACTATTCCAATGTCTTGTAGTAATTGTCTGAACGCGACTCTGTTTTGGACTGCCTCTGACGCGACTCTTGACTCGACTTGAACTACTGACTCCACCTGAACTACTGACTCTTTGCCTACTCCTGAAGCGCAGTATTTATTAAATATGGAATAGTCCATTATTATTATTATTATTATTATTATTATTATTATTGGTAAGATCCCATGACATAACCTCGCATAATCTGGAAACCCTGAATCTGAGCTCAACGAAAATCGTTCCCTGGGCCTAACATTTCTATGGCTTTTGAATGAGATATGAATCATTGGAATCGGACCAGTGGAAGCGGAGGAATTGCTTGGACACACACACGCACAAACACACACACATACACTGCACTTTATATATAAGATGGATCGGTAATGAGTTTCGTTTGAATTTGCTATCAGGCCACCGGATGAAAGAAAATCTCTGATCAAGGACAAAGGGTATGAAAGGCGATAGGGTTGCGTGAAAACTACAAAAACAAGAAAACTGAACCGAATGAGAACATACAACACTGCAAGTCTTTTTTATACTGATGTATTTTTTATAATAGTACAAGGCTTGAGAGTAACTCAAGATAGAGGGTTGCTGTTAAAATGGATATAATGAATGAAAGAGAAGTGATAGGAAGTAAAGATTATGAGGTTGAAGAGGATAGATAACAACAGACTCGTGACTTGGATAGGTTAATATTGTGAGGTACCGGGAAGTGTCTGCTTCAAAAAGTAACAGTTCTCTTGAAAAAAAAAACTGTCCCAATGGAACTTTCTGTTTATATCTGTAGTAAGGTGGAAATGGTGGTGATTCGGCTCCGTGGAAAAAGCATGGCGTGTGTTACAGTTTTTGTGTATATATGTATGTAACTAGTGAGTTAGTCAAAATGACTTAATTCCCTTTATAGTCTACCAATAGAAGGTTGACCAATTAGAAGCCGCAGAACATTGTAGCCGTCGTGTATAAAGGCGGCCATCTTTGTTTTCCCTACCGGAATGACCAGAGCCAACATGTCAGGCGAACACGACAGAAGGAAGAACTAATCTCTACTACTTTGCTGCGATATCCACTGCGAACCTGAACTACGCTTTCCTACAGTCTCCGAAATATTCACTGCCAACCTCTGTATTCTATACTCGAAGACGACCGTCATGAATTTGCAACAGCGTGTTCTGATTATAAATGTCTGAACTGGTGGAAAGAATGCATTATATTTTGGCATTTATCATCGGAACAACGATACGTCAGAGATAGGCTTGCAATATCGTACCTGCTTGAAGATGGCTGAAGATTTGAAACAGCATAAACGATTTCGATGCCTATCAAGGCTAGAAAGTGAAAATTTAACAACTCCAGCCCTAATATAGCACTAACGCTCCGTTGTCAAATCAAAGCATAAAATAGACATTTCGACGTTCCATAAATGTGACCCTGCACTGTAGTTCTTTTAAATTGATAAATATTTACATAAAAACGTTTAGTCTTTGACTCGTCTAGAGATAAGTGTTTTTCTCTTGGTGACATCTAAAAAGAAATGCAAAAGTCTTCACTCAAAATTGTTCTTTAAATTATGTTGGATCTTCCTAGAGAGACAATAAACAAAATTGGACATTCCAACCTGTTAAGCTTCGATTCTAAATGTAGACACTATCGTTTCGCAGATGCTTTCGCCTCTAGTACTTTGTAAACCTACCAAAAATGGGTTCATCATCTAAGATTGACCTCTTTGGAATGTCAATGTTGCGGCAAACAAGAGAGAAGCAAATATGCAAGCCCAACAGGGAAAAGAGAGAACGAAAACAAATTGGTGAACAGAGGTAAAGCCGTGGTTGCAAAATTTTTCCAGACAGTAAAAACGAAATAATTCCAAGAGAAAAGAAGGAAAAAAAAACATAGAAGAATAAGTATTAGTCATTTGGTTTTTACTTTCGTCTTTGACACTGACAGCGAAAGTTCTTGTCGGTCGTCTCGGCTTGAAACAAAAGGCGACATTTTGATCTGTCTCTTGCCTGCTGCTAATTTTCCCTCTTCGACATTGACATCGGCATTAGTGAGAAGAAAGACAGGCCGGAGATCTTGTGGATGGCGCATGGTTCGTTAATCAGCTTTCATTGGCTGGAAAATGTCAGAATATAAGAGCCTTAATGTCAAGTAAAATCCGATACGTATACTAGGTTCCTAAGTTCATAACGATGTTTGCGCTGGTTAATATTTCGTATAAAATGTCGGATCAGATGCATTGAGTTTGTTTATACACTGTTTGTAAATATAGAATAACATCACTTAATTTAAGGATACGCATATAAAAAACACGTTCATAACAATAATTATTTTCAATCTATTTTATAACCATGACATCATATTTTTTTATGTCATATGCATTCTGAATTTGGATGATTATGGCTCTCCATATGTAGTTCTTTATTATCTGGGGATTTCTATGAACTGTTTAGAAAGCTACACGACTAGATTCCGTTACATTCCCCACGGTTTGGAATTCAAAGCTTTCCTGATATTAGTCTGGTTATCGCTCAAGGTTAGACAACTTAGTCTACCCTGCTATTTAACTCATAGCTTATGAGAGGAAAAGGAGGATTTGTGCTTCTTCCAAGGATTTTCTTTTGCGAGAGTGACCGATAGAGACTCACACTGAATTTGAATGCGCTTCGCAGATTCTACTAATCACCTGGACAAACCTTCAAATATGATTTTGACCAGTAAGTGGTGGGAGGGATTGTCGATCTGCCTGCCAAGTTTGAGAATTTATATTCTAAATGCTGAAATTTGTATGGACTCAAAAGTACCGGGAAGGAAATATGCCGACATCTTTAATTATAGGGGAGAAAAGATGTAATAAAAAGGAAACTTAAAAAGGAAGAAAGAAAAACGAAAGAAATATAATTAGAAAAATGTAAACTAGATAGATAGATAGATAGATAGATAGATAGATAGATATGAACAGAATAAGATAGATAGATAGATAGATAGATAGATAGATAGATATAAACAGAATAAGATAGATAGATAGATAGATAGATAGATAGATAGATAGATAGATTGAGGGAGAAAGATATGAACAGACTTAGATAGATAGATAGATAGATAGATAGATAGATAGATAGATATAAACAGATTGAGATAGATAAATAGATATAAACAGTTTGAGATAGATAGAGAGATAGATAGATATGAACAGAATAAGATAGATAGATAGATAGATAGATAGATAGATATAAACAGTTTGGGAGATAGATAGATAGATAGATAGATAGATAGATAGATAGATAGATAGATATGAACAGAATAAGATAGATAGATATAAACAGTTTGAGATAGATAGATAGATAGATAGATAGATAGATATAAACAGTTTGAGATAGATAGATAGATAGATAGATAGATAGATAGATAGATAGATAGATAAAAATGACTATTACTCCAGATATAAATAATTAACTTATGACCCCCGATTTTCTTTGATTAAAGATTGATAAAATCCTTTCCATGTCTAAATGTCCTCCGCAGCCCCAGACTCGTCTTCGCCCTCGGAAGACTGACGCCATTAATTATTCGTCCTCTGCTCACTTCAGACCAACTTAATTTTAGTTTGATGTATCTAAATCGTGGTTTATTTCCCAAAGTCCCATTTTCTCAGCGTTTCTGCACTGAAGATCTCGGTTTTTCTATAGAGCATTCGACTCATAAAAGTCGTCAATGAGACCCCATTGGGTGAATTGCTATTAGCAGATACTTTCACAGAGAAACGTAAAAAGTCTAGTTGGCAAAGATGACTCGTAATCCAGGCAGATAGATGAGATTCTACATATTTTTCCTTGACTAGCATTAGAGACTGGGGCAAATTTTTCCACTGAAACCAACAGGGAGTCATCTTCCGCATGTCATCACGCAACTTTCCTGATCGAAAGTCCAAATAAGCCGCTGTGGATTACGAAACTTAATAATGTATTGTCAGAGTGATTCAAAGTTTTGTCAGTAGCCAGTGGGCTCATAAGTCTAAATGCTTGCGATGTTTAAATAAAACTACTTAAAACAAAGAGAGGGGGCACGATGGAGTAATGGATAGTGATTTGGATTGAGGAATCGGGGAATCGTGTTCGAATTCCAGTCAAATTCATTACATTCACTTACGTGCTAATACCCTTGGGAAAGGTATGAATCCTTTTCCTCCTCTTCTTCTTCCCTCATAGTCTTGGATGTCAACTGGGCTGCCACAGAAAGAAATGGCAACCTACTGTGGGAAAAAATCTGCCTCGTCAGTCATGTATCAAAAGATAAATGATCGCCTAAGCATGTATCACGCAGTGCACATAACTGAGTGACTTAACACAAAGTGGAGGAAATACTCTTATCAAATTGTATTGTTTGATTAATTTCTTTTTTAAGACATTTTTTTAAAACTTTGCAGGTGACTTAAAGCCTGATAATATTTTAAAGTTGAACTATTTCTTGTAGGTAATAATAATAATAATAATAATAATACTTAAGACGATTATTTAGCTCCTCTTTTTCATTAGTTCTGGCGTTGTCTTTGAGTTATCTACCTTTTTATTGCTATATCTGTCTGATTTCCATGTTAACTGTTCTGCTTCCTTAATTAGACTTGAACATTTTGCTATTCAGATTTTCTATCATATTTTCGTTATTGCACAAAGTCTGGAATCTGTGAGATGATTTTTGATTTTAAAGTCAAATTTCACTCTGCACGCTACCTTTTATCGTTAATTCCTATATTAACTCTGTTCATCCTTAATGCTAATGTCTTAAACACACACACACACACACACACACACACACACACACACACACACATATATATATATATATATATATATATATATATATATATATATATATATATATATGTTGCACCATGCATCCAGGCAGAGAAAGAAAGGCAAAAAGGGAAAAGGAAAGAAAAGAAGAAAGGAAGGGAAAAAGTAATGCGAGACGGATCATAGGTGATAAGCGAACACACACACACGGCTTGAGAGGCAATAAAAAAGGGGTTATTTTGGATAAGTGGCAAATGGCGAAAAGAGTGTCATTACAATGTCAATGAGATTGAGTGGGTAGGGAAGTATTATCTAAACTATTGGTACAAGAAGGCATCTTATTATCAAAACACAGGCCACCGGCCAAGGGAAAAATTCAAGCGAAAATGTTATTTCGATAAGTGACGACAAGAAACAGGCGACTAAAAAAGACATTTGGACAGATATGAAAATTAAAGGCCACCTGCGAGCAATCATTGACCGATTTTCCTACTTGGCCTGCGCGAATGGAATTGTGTTATCAAGAAATGTTCGCCAAAGAAAGTCCACTTGAAAACGTTAGATTTTGATAATTGACAAAACACAGGTGTAGGTATGGAGCCTTAGCTAGATATGGAAAATTAAAATCCCACACAAGCAGTCTCGCTAAAACAAACTTTTGCCCTGCGATAATAAAATTTTTTCATCAGACACATGAACCGAAGGAAAATGAATGGAATAAGAAATGTTTTTATTTCTTCCTTGGAGACGTCAGACCGACTGAAAACTTGGAGAAAATTCATTTCTGAGGCCATGTCATCTGATGAATTGGCGATAAACTGCTTGACAAACGCCACGTGTTGAACAAAGAGTTGTCATATCCGTTCATGATAACGGCGATTTGAAAGGAAGAAAAAAAGGAAAGAGAAGGGATAATTCATTTTTTAGTTAAGCAAGGTATTTTTTTCCGAAACAAAGCCGCGGGTTGTTCACGCCCGACTAAGACGTCATTTGTCAAGTGGTGATTACATGACGCACGAAGGAGGAGGAAAGATACCCGACTAAGACCTCATTGGCCGAGAGTGATCACGTGACGCACGAAGAAGGCTGTTGACGCCCCCATCCAGAGTATAAGTATGAGAAGCCGCTACGAAGAAGTGGGGAGAGCAGTTCACGCCCCTCAGAAGCATGGTGAGAAAGTGGGAGTGAAAAAAAGTTACCAAAAATGGAAAAGAGTGGAAAATCCCTAACCAGAAATAAAAGAGGTGGATATGTATTTAGAATTATCGAGGAACTCCCCGACGCCAACAGACCCAACCCGGTTTTTGACGGCGTCAATAAAAACGAGGCCCCAACAGGCAGAAAACAGTTCGCGCCTCGGCGGCAGGGATGAGTGTCCAGTAGTTCGCGCCCTGACGGCAGAGATGAGTGTCCAGTAGTTCGCGCCCCGACGGCAGGGATGAGTGTCCAGTAGTTCGCGCCCTGACGGCAGAGATGAGTGGCCAGTAGTTCAGGCCCTGACAGCAGAGATGAGTGTCGAGTCCGTTCGGCCCTGGCGGCAGAGATGAGTATCCAAAGTTCGAGCTCCAGTTTCCAGAGTTGAAGCCGCCTCAAGATAGCTGACCAAGATTCACGCAAAATTTCGGACTCCTCTTCAACCAAGAACAATTATTTTGAAGATCGACTTAGAACCAGACCACAGAAATAAGTTTTTTTCGACTTTCGTCCAAAGACACACCGAAACACAAATTTCTTAGAGAGCAAACAACTTGAAGCGTTAAAACTTGCCTAGCGAAAACGACGTGTCACAATCCACAGAACGGGTCGGGAGATAGATGCAGTCCTATGTATCGAACAACTAGACATAAAGTTTGTTACCTTTTTCTTTGATACTTTGAACTTTTCTTGAGTTTTCATTTTCTTTTCTTTTATGCATATTTGTGTGTTATCACCCCCGTTGAACTCAATTTGCATTATGGCCCCAACCACTGTTTGATCTCGTCTGTCTAAGATCAATTCACAACGTGGGTAGGCAGACTGGAGATCAGTGCAGTTACCTTGGTAACCAGGCGTTGAAAGCGAGTTGGGAACGGCAAGGCTGATATCAAATCTAACCAGATTCCCACCCGAATCACCAAAAGGTTAGAACGTCACATTTGGGTGCCGCGACCGATACCAAGCCAGTTGGTCGTCACAGTACGAGACAACACGACTGACGCGACAGGCGAACGTCACGTTTGGAGCAGCGACACCCGGACGGAGCAGCGACACCCGGACGGAGCAGCGACACCCGGACGGAGCAGCGAGGAGCGAACAGCTGGCGCCGTGGCGAAGACGTCACAATTGGTGCTGTTTAGGGACGTCACAACTGGTGTCGTGACCGGGATAGGATCCTGGAACGGCCACGTCACAACTGGCGCCGTGGTAGATCAGGATAGAACGTCACAGTTGGCGCTGCGACCGGGTGACGACGTCACATATATATATATTATGCATTCGTTAAAACTGTAGCTTAGGAATTCGATTTTATTAAAGCATTTGCCACATAATCTCAGCTCTGCAAATTTAACCAACTGACCAATAAATATCAGAATTTGTTGATGAACATTTCGGCACACCCTATGTGGCAGTCGTTAGGTACAGATTTAAAAATCACTGTGCACTACATATATATATATATATATATATATATATAGTTTTAAAAACAAGGAATGTATTGATTTTAATTGTAAAAGTCTCTAAGCCCCTTTCAACCAAAAGTTGGTTGAAAGGGCCTTTAAAATTAAAATCAATACATTCCTTGTTTTTAAAACTATATATAAATTTTGTAAAGTAAGCATATGTTTATATATATATATATATATATATATATATATATATATATATATATATATATATATATGTGTGTGTGTGTGTGTGTGTGTGTGTGTGTGTGTGTGTTTGTGTGTGTTCTTTTTTTAGCAAAAAAAAAAAAAAAAATTACCTCAAAATAGAGATAGAGTCTATTTCAAGTCTTTCTGTACTCGATGAAACGATGAAATAATAATTAGATATTAATGTTACAATTTATTTTTTGCTCTCAGGTAAAATACGAAATTTTGAATGAAGATTCAAATAAACTATAATGGCCTTGACCTAAACTTCTTCATTAAAGCCATTGTGGTCTGACCACACGAAGTTTCGAAGTTTTCCTCAGCCATCTCCTCTAAATTATCTCACTCTCTCTCTCTCCTTCCTCACTCTCACTATCTCCATCCCATCTCTCTCTCTCTCTCTCTCTCTCTGTCTATTTTTTCTGTGCACCGGGAAAAAGTTCACGAGTTTTCTGGGGTTTTTTTGTTTTGTTTTTTTTTGTTGCTGTGGCCAGTATTCTGTATTCCAGGTGAACCTGTTTTAACAAGGAAAACTTCGGCATGATTGTCTGGACACAATCCCTGACGAAATACGTTTTACCGAAAGATAAATTTATCTTGCAATCGCTATATCCATATCAATTCACTGAAAATAAAAGGTTCTCTTTTCTAGCTGGAAATATGGGCAAATAGAAGTTGAAAGCACTACAGAGAAAAAAGAAATACCGAAGAAAGAATTTTTTTCTTCTTTTGCTGAGAAGAAATCTATTTTGTGTCAGTACAAAAGCGTTGAACGTGTGATCACTGGGTGTCATATGACCTGAAAAAAAAAGCCAAGCAATTCTGGTTCGGTGGGGTTGAGATAATCTTTCATTTCGCGGCGTCTAATACTTTTTCTATAATATTTCCTTCCGAAAGGGAATTATCTTAATAATATCCACCTATTCGTCTTAAAAAAAAAAAGAGAAAGAATCGATAAATATGCAATTACACGAAATCTTGTCGGCTTTTGTCACAGGCTGCTTCCTAATATCGTAATGTGAGATTTGATGGGAATTATCAGTAAAGAGTAAATGAAACTCGAAAAGGTACCATCCGATTTTCTTTGAACGAAACAACGAAGTTAATTTTCGCACTAGTGCGTATGTTTAAGGTGAGATATTGCCCTTTTTTTCTTGGAGGCATAAAAATACTCATGTCACAAGAAACTCGAACAAACGTTTCAGCACAAGTTCAACAGTTATTTAAAAAAAAGAATTTATACACTCCTGACGGAAAAGATACAGTTATTTACAATAATATTAACGGAAATATAGCAATGTCACTTGGGTACCCGGTGGAATGGTTAACAAGCTTGGCTCGCTAGAAAAAAATTACGACTGCATAGTGATTTCGATCCTCACTGGGTGCCCCTTACTTTGGGCCTTGTGCCATATCTAAGCTACGCATGGAAAATCATCACTTGGGCATTTCCACATGGTATAATTGTCTTGCAAGATTATTTATGACTAAGTAGTGAATTCGAGTCTCACCCATATTTTCAGTCTTATGCGAAATCTAAGTTAGGTCACCTCGAGGTAGTGTAATGGTTAGCAAACTTGTCCCGCTAGAATTATTACGACTGTGTAATGAGTTCGATCCTCACTGGGAGTCCCATAATTTCGGCTTTGTGCCACATTTAAGCTACTCTTGGAAAATCGCTATTGGGGCACCTCGAGGCGGTGTCATGGTTAGCAAGTTTGTCCCACTAAAAGAATTATGAATGAGTTGTGAGTTCGATCCTCACTGGGTGCCCCATACTATCGGCCTTGAGCCACATCTATCCTACGCTTGGAAAATCACTATAGGTCACCTCGAGGCGGTGTAATGGTTAGCAAGCTTATCTCGCTAGAACAATTACGAATGAGTCGTGAGTTCGATCCTCACTGGGTGCCCCATAGTTTAGGCCTTGAGCCACATCTACGCTTGGAAAGTCACTAGTTAGGGCACCTCGAGGTGGTGTAATGGTTAGCAAGCTTATCTCGCTAGAACAATTACGAATGAGTCGTGAGTTTGATCCTCACTGGGTGCCCCATAGTTTAGGCCTTGAGCCACATCTAAGCTACGCTTGGAAAGTCACTATAGCAATGCCACTTCGGTCCTCTTCGAAGTATTCCCAGTTGGCACCTCTCGCGCTTATTCCAGCGTCTCTTCCATTGCTCAAAGCACCTGCAGAGTACTTTTTCAGTAGATCGAACTCAATACGCAGCTGTAATGTGCCCCAGGATTGCCATCAAGTGACAAGAAATTTTCTTTAAAAACAAAACAACAACAAAAAATGCGCTGAAGTGCGATATAATATCAGTCCTCTTTTATAGTAAAGAATTCTGGACTTCTCGATAAAATCGAAATAGGTCTGTTGAAATTTCTTTGGCACATAAAGAGGAAAGAGGGCTTGGATAATTTAACACTCACATGCCATGTTGAAGGCAAGAAGGACAGAGACATAGAGCGATTAAACTACCGTGTGAGAATATCATGTTCATTCATTCAAATGAATGCGTGAACAAGGTATGAAGAGACAGTAAGGGGGAGAAAAATAGGAGAGAGCCACAACTGGTCAAGGGATAGGAGACAAAGAAGAAGAAGAAGGAAAAAGAAGAATGAAAAAAGAAGAAAAAGCAGAAACAGAAAAAGAGGCATCAGCAGCAGAAGAAGAAAAAGCAGAAGAAAATGAGAAAGATGAAGACAAAGAAGAAGGAAAAGAAAAATTAAAATAAGAAGTAAAAGAAGAAGACGAAGAAAAAGAAGAAAAAGAAGAAGAAGAAGGAGCAGAAATAGCAAAATCAGTAAAAGAAGCAACAGCAAAAGAAGAAGAAAAAGCAGAAGAAGAAAATGAAGAAGAAGAAGAAGAAAAAGCGGAAGAGGAAAACGGAGAGGAAGAAGAAGAAGAAAAGAAGAAAAAGCAGAAGAGGAGGAAAATGAAGAGGAAGAAGAAGACAAAGCAGACGAGGAAGAAAATTAAAAGAAGAAGCAAACGAAGATGAAGCAAAGGAAGAAGAAAAAGAAAAAGCAGATGAAAATAAAGAGGAAGAAAAGACAAAGCACAAGAAGCAGAAATAAAAAACAGAAGCTAAAGCTGAAGAAGAAGAAGAAGAAGAAGAAGAAGAAGAAGAAGAAGAAAAAGAAATACTGTATATTGAGTAGAAAATTGAGTTGCTTATTATATATTTGCAGTGGACCGTATAAATATTTACACTGTTTCGGTTAAATGAAGACCATAAATAATATGGCGGTTTCTTTAGACAGTTTTACGGGAAACAAGATAAAGATGGAGACCCGTAAGATAAAAATGTTACTAGCCTAAAAGAAACATCTTCAAAAACAAATATTTCATTAACTATCACTGAGTTTTCTTCTTGGAAATCTCTTGAGAGTTTCAAGCTCTTCCATTATTAGAATGAACGAAGATGTACCTATATGACGCGCTTATTGTCATATATTTCGCTTCTGGGCAAATACTGCAGCACAATCATTCGCAATCACATCTAGCAGACGGATTCGCTAAGGTAACACATTTTTGTTGTTTATCTCTCTTGGTTGTTTTATATGTTGGACGATATGCTAAGCTTGATAAATACATAGGCATCACTTCTGAGTGGAAAAGAAGCCAGAAATGATTTATTTTTTAATAATGGCTGAAAAAAAAAATTGTCGCCTAAGGGAGTTAACACTGTCTAAAACTAAAAAATTATCTGCAGTCCAAGCCAGTGTTAAAACATATAAAGAATAAACGATGCGACAGGTATAAACAGGAACTTCTGGAGTATTCTTGAAAATACGAAGGAAAAGCAGAATGTACCAAAAAATTAACACTATGATGGCCGAGGTGTCGTTTTCGATACTTTCAAATTTTCAACAAATTCCTATGGAATAACTTAGTTTTGGTTCGATGCTGAGGCTTATGGACAATTATTGAATTTTAGCAAAGATGCTTAACAGACTTAATTCTTTAAAAAATATTCAGTGGAATAGCTGATATTTGAGGTTTTGACACCTAGGCTATTTATAGGGTAAATGCATTGAAAAATTTCTCACAAGCAATAATACTTGTGTTTATGTCCCCTATCTATCTATTTATCTATCTATCTATACACACACATACATAATATATATATATATATTTGAAACATGGTTAGAACTGTGTAGCGAATAAAAAACATATTTTAAATCAATTAATTTATAATATTAATGCTCTGTAAATTTACATTGAGCACTATTTTGTAAAAATAAACATATCTATAAGAACACCGGATTATATATCTTACTGTTCTTTCTTTTTATTTAAATACATACATACATACATATATATATATATATATATATATATATATATATATATATATATATATATATATATATATAATCACTTTCTTTCAGTATGAGGTATACTAATATTTATGAATTTTTTTCAGACTTGTTATTCCTGACTTGAATATTGAATATATTAGAGATGGCTGCTCCACGGTGTAATGGAAATAAAGAGGTCAAAAGAGCTGGCTATCCTAGTGTTAAGCGAAGAAGCAGAACAGTAATAAATAATAATAATAATAACAATCAGAAAACTGGAGTTATATATTTGCATTGTCTCACTATTTACATTATTCGGACTATTATCCTCAAATTTGTCGCCATACTTATTACAACGTTTCGACCTTTGTACGCTCCGGCCTTCGTCAGGCGGTTAGAACGTTCAACTGAACCCTTTATTTCGCTCACTGGTGTAGACTGTTCAAATTCCACGTGCCATTGTTTAATGGATGTCAGTTATCAGTAATCTCGTGTTAATTCCCCTCTCCAAGTTCTCCACCACCTTAACCAGGTAATGAACTCACATTATTTGGGTCCTGTCACTGCATCTAACAAACGCCTTTATCCACTGTGCCATGTGTCTTTGAATTAACAGGAGATAAATATGTGATAAATATGGCGAAAAAGATGAGGACAATAGACCGAATGATGTAAATAATGTACATAATACCTCATCTCAGAAATAGAGAGATACTGAAAGCCCGAAACGTTGTAACAAATATGGCAACAAAGATGAGGATAATAGTCCGAATAATGTAAAAAATGTACATACCTGATCTCAGAAATATATACTGATACTGAACGGCCGAAACGTTGTAATAAATATGGCGACAAAGATGAGGACAATAGACTGGATAATGTAAATAGTGTACATAATACCTCATCTCAGAAATATAGACAGATATTGCGTTGTCTCATTTGCATATATAAAGAAGAAAGATATAAAGGGTCTAGTAAAACTGTCACTTTAGCAGATTTACTAAAATATCTGCGATATCACTCATACTAATTAACAAATAATTATCCAGAAACAATTGAGAATCTTGTATGAGGTTATACACTGTTAGTGTCCACTGAATATAAAACACGGCATGACAGAGTGGGTCAATAACTACATTGGAAAATATGCAACTTTAGCGGCAAGAAAAATGAAAGAAACTTGTATGATCAGCACCCAAATCCAGTTACAGAGATAGGCCCCGTAACAATTTTGTGGGAATTTACAATATACATAGACAGAACAATGAAAGCTATTCGTCCAGACATAATGACCAAGGACCAGAAAAAAACAGAATGTACTTTTTTTATTGAGATGGAGATTACTGCAGGCATTAATGCATCTTTGAAGATCTTCAAAAAAAAACATTTAAAGTACGAGGCGTAAATGGAAATCTAAAAAATGTGGCATGTGAGGACATCAATAATTCTGTTTGTAGTTGGAGCCCTCGGATTGACTGGAAAAGGTTCCGATAGACCCATTGAGGAATTCCTGTTAGCCAATGACTTAAAGAAATGCAAAAGATT